TTCCAGAATGTCATCGATGGCAAAGTTGAAGAGGAATGGTGAGATTGGGCAACCCTGCCTAACCCCACTGCTCGAATGGAACAATGGAGAGAGGTGGTTGTATGCCCTCACTCTGCCTGAGGTGTTTTTATATAGGGCTTTTAGGATGTTAATAAACTTCTCAGGCACACCCTTCTTCAATAGACAATCCCAGAGAACAGTCCTGTCCAACGAATCGAAGGCAGCCCTGATGTCAAGAAACACTACGATTGTTGGCCTTTGAAAGTATGGCGGTGTTCTAACATTTGGCGGAGGGTGAAGATATGATCAATACATCCTCGACCAGAACGAAACCCAGCCTGCTCCTCGCGAGTCAATCTTTCTCGGGTTTTGAACAACCTACGAAGTATGACGGAAGCCAATAGCTTGGACGCAATCGGAAGTAGACTTATCCCCCGATAGTTGTTACAGGAACGACGTGAACCCTTTTTAAAGATAGGGACAACTATCGACTCATTCCATGACGTTGGTACACTCTCTAGTTCCCAAACCTTTGTAAACAACGTCGTCAATTCCTTAGTCAAAAAGTCACCACCATCTTTAAAAAGAGCCGGAGGTAAGTCATCTGGGCCAGGTGATTTGTAACGCTTCAAGAGTTGGAGTTCCTTGCGGACTTCCTCCTCGTTTGGTGGATCAGTCGTCACCGGCCATGGAGGGCAGGACAGTCTGACCGATGTTGCCGGAGCAGCAGGCCAGTTGAACTGCCCTTCGAAAAATTCTGCCCATCGTCCAAGACGTCGATGGATGTTAGTGATTGGCATCCCATCATCCTCGCAGATTGTTTCACTCACACCAGACTTCTTGCTGCCAGTGGCTCGGATGAGCTGGAAGAGCTTCCGGTAGTTACCAGATGCAGCTGCTGCTTCCAGCTCATTAGCACGCATCGACCACCAGGCTTCTCGGTCCTTACGCAAGCTTTGCCCAATTTCCTTACGTAACATCCTTCGTTTATGGTCAAACTCACGGTCACCCGGAGTAGACCGACGGGCTTCAATGAGTTGTAAGGAACCAGAAGAAACCCAGTGCTTAAAAGCGGGACGTTTCGCAAACCCACAACTGACTGTTCCCGCCATTTTCATGGCGTCATGCAATTGCAACCAATGCTCATCTATACTTTTCGGTGGAGTGGTAGCTAGCCTAGAGGCTAGCTCGGTTCGATACTTACTTGCAACAGAAGTTGCAACCAGCTTGCTAACATCAATCCGTTGATGGCGGTCACTTCGTTGTCCACTGAAAAGTAAGGCAAGATTGGCGCAGACCAAGGCATGGTCAGAGTCCAGATAGGTACTCCAAAAGGAGCGGCAGTCTTGTACACAACCACGCCAGCGGTAGCTGATCGCACTTTCTGGAGAAGAACAGATAACTGATGGTAAAACTCATCCTTGATTGCATCCGGGCTGCAATCTGTCGGGGCATAGGCGGAGATGACGAAAAGACATCGTTTCTCACACCGATTTCTTCTCACTTTGATGGAACTTTCTAATCTAACAGCACATAACCGACTGTTAATGGGGATCCAATCGACTAGTGCTGCCTCAGCTCTAGCGCTTAGTGCGACACCAACGCCAGCAAGACCGGACGAAGGTACCACAGGGTCCCCGGATAAGCGCACGTAAAACAAGCTTTTCGAAGCGACAGATGGAGATCGAATTTGTAGTACTTCGCCAGAGTCTTGAATACGGGTCTCGGATAGACAACACACGTCGATATTAAGACTTTCCAAAGACATAGCCAGCCCTATCTGTTGTCCGACCTGCATAAATGTGCGAACGTTGAAGGCAGCCAGTTTGAATGGTGCACGTGGTTTCAGAAAAACTGCTTCAGTCCTCGTATTCGGTGGTAACATACAATTTTCAACCGGACAGTGACTCGAGAACGTTTAGATACAGTCGAATTTCCACCAAAGACGAGCCGCTGTATAAGTATAAAAGAGGGTGAATAATGTGGAAAATAATAATAATAATAATAATATTAATAATAATAATAACAATAATAGTGATGATAATAATAATAATAATAGTATTAATAATGACAATATTTGTAATGATAATAATTTGAATCAATTGACTGTTTTTCGAAGCGAGAAAAGTAAATTCCATAGACATAAAGAGTTCATCATTTGTGTGTGAGCTGTGATACTGCCCGGGTGCCCAAACCGAAGCAGGTGGTTATCTTAGGGGGCCACACCCCGAGCCTTCGACCTAAAGGTCTAACCCACAAGGCAGTGGAGCATCGTAAAGAGATGCAATCCCATGGTAGCCGGTGACCAACGATTGGTTCATACGCCATTTGTTCCCTCAGGATACTGGAGCCCATGTGCACCATTGGTTTGGAATCCGGTTAAAGCGCCGGACATTCGCTTTTCGTCCTCTCATTTTCGTAAACAACACCCCCGCCACGAGAAGGCAATGAGTAGGACTTCCCTGGCAGAGGCTGTATACGCGTGGCCGTGTGAGAGTATTTCGAGAGGGAGGGCGGACTCTCCCCACTCTCGGCCGTACCAGAGCACTCGGGGGCATTTTTTATAGGCTAGTATTAGGTTTCTTTATGCAAGACACTTTATTCCTTATTATCTTGACAACCTATCGAATACTTACATTACTCATCTTTAAAATATGAAAACTATGTATTTTTTAGGTTCTATATACATGCTAAGTGACAAGATTTTCACACCGAATGAAATCTCTGTTTCTCCATAATGAATAAAAGTGAAGTGTTCATTAAACAATAACCTTAGATTAGCATAGTAAAAATTCACTAAATTGATACATTTATTGTAACATGTGATTACTGTAACCTGTTCATCAATTAAATAACTTATACAATATACATTTACATATTGAAATTTTCGATCGTTTTTCGTTGGTGGTTTGACCATTGATAAAATTATGGAAAAGATAAGCTATATACATTGTTTATAGAGAATTGACAAATAAATGGATAATATTGAGTTATATAATCTTCTTTGGTTGGTTAATGCTTACTTTCTTCTCTAATCCTCCTACATATTTCTCTATATTGAAATAGGTCAAAAGTATCATGGTAATTGGCTAATAAAACAAACCAATAAGAAGGACGAATTCTCGGTCTTGAAAATTTCATGACCTGAAACTAACCTTATTATAATAATTACTACTACACATTAATGATATCCAATCAACTGAAATTTTCTAAGGCTCGTATGATTTTGTGTATATATGTATAATCTCAAAAAGTGACAAAGGAATGCAATCCCATAAAATTCGCCACAGGAAAAGTCACATACAAGTCGGAGTACTGGATTAGTCTTTAGTACTCGAAGTAATATTTCAAATATAGACTTGATGATGATTGTAAAAGAACAATTAGACGCGTCTCAGACTTGAATCTTTCCATTTTCTGACTTGCTAAACGTCAGATAACTATTATCCATGGGTTTTGGTAAATTTTATAACAGTTTAAGTAGAAAATGCTAGACCATTGTCTCAACCTGCTACAAGTCATTAGAAGTCCATTTTTTGATATCGACCAGCTTGAGGCCAGAACAGTCAGGCTCCAAGAGAATGCTTTTTGTTGACATCGCTAAGGCAAAAAGTACCTGTAGCCTTAAGGGAATTGATGGTACGAGGAGAACTTGGACTTCAACCGACCAACTTTACAGTCTGAGACGTTACTACCAAGCTATTCAGGGCGCAACTGACCTACTGTAGAACAGATCACCCTGTCGACAAGTTTTTTAATAGCATATATATATATATATATATATATATATATATATATATATAACTGGGCATCCTGTTTACTTTATTGTTTTTACCAGTATGGGGTTGTGAAGATTGTTTAGTTTTTTGATTGAGATCATTAATCGATGAATGTTAGACCACCATCGTTCCGTGCTTCCCGTTTTTCAATGGTGGTTTAACATTCATCGATTCAGTATCTTTATCGTGTTTGCATATCCTTTACTGTTGACACGAAGACCAACAGAAATGATTGATGGACTTAACTAGTTTTCACTCTATTAATAAATTGCAGTAATATATTTGCTGCGGGGTCAAACTGAAAAATGTTTTCAGTTTAATGAATATTCGCTGTTAGGAACCAAATATTGTAATTTCTATAACATTATCTGTCCAGTTATGGAAAGGAATGAGTGCATCAACTTAAAATGTATTATAAATAAGTTTATCGTTTACAATATTCAAACGACTCCTATATACGTTACAGATCAGTAAGTCGACTAATCTATGTTCATTAATTTTTTTGTAGGAACTGGTTTGATTTAAAGTTATTGAATGCCAAGTTACTTAAAATAACATATATGTTTGAATCATTTTGAACTGTTCGATCAAGTAAACTAAGATTTCAAACATTAACTAACTTATTCTACAACTTCATTAAAATACTTAACAAGATATCGCAGATGAATCTCTATAGTTCGTACTTTTCAACATAACAACTAAGTAATCTTACATCTGTTAGCTAGGACTAATTGTACTTTTTGTTAGCTACTTTCCTGATGAGTTACGACAAGGACATGAATACTTGTGGAGTGAGAAAAGATTTATAAAGAAACAGTCGCACAATCAAACGACAAATTGTCAAAATAAGATAAATAGCAAACCAAGTTGTATTCACCTGATAAGGAACTAGTAAAACTGAATCAATTCACATTGTACGTCAAATCTTAATCCGACCGAGATGTTCACGTTTGCTTTAGAGATTAAGTGTACGAGATTACAATCTAATTTCTTTTGTACATCTAAGTAAAGCAGTTAAAAAATTTGAATGACTGTCTTAATTATTTTCTTAATTTCGGATTTGTCTGGCAAGTAAACCAATTAACACTCAGTAGTATCTGCATTCACTAATTAAATATATGCAAACAAACATTAACCCCACTGTCAAACACTGAAAAGACTTAATCATTGATGAAAAATTATTGGATAGAATCTATAAAATACAATGAGATACATATTATACTAATCCGTCCATTCTGAAATTAAAAGAGTTCCATTTGTTCCACCAAATCCGGATGAGTTAGTCATAACAATACGTCGATGACTATCGGGCCACATAACTTGTGTTTGATCGTGTCTAGGAAGTACAGCATAGTTCCTAAACAGATCTATACACTTGTCATTAGAAGATATACTAGTTGAAGAACTGGAATTAGATTTTAAAACCTCCAACAACTCAGAAATTGAGATAGGATTATGCAGGTTGAGGTTTCCACAAATTTGATTCTGATTAACAGATAAAGCAGCGTACACGGTTTCTATGGCACCGGCTGCTGCCAAACAGTGACCAAGGTGACCTTTAATTGAATTGATTACAACAGGTGTATGGTATTGAGAATTAAAATATTCACCAAACATTTGTGCAATAGCGCTCAGCTCTGTTAAATCACCAACAGGGGTGGATGTTGCATGACAATTTATGTGTCCAATCTAAAAAAAAGTAAAAAGATTATAAAACTAAGTTGATTAATAATTATAAATATGAAACACAGTCATATGTAAATAATTCTGCAGCATATGAAACGAAAAATATATTTTTTCGGTTTTTTTGAAGATTAATTACCAATAAGCAGGAAGTTATGGAACTCGGTTTCTTGCTTACGAGTGTACTTACAAATTGATAGCAAATATATACACCCCGAGAAATACGAATTCATACCGTGTAGAAATGTGTCAAATAAAAGTGTTGATCAATAGACGATAATTAATTTCGGATTTAAATTGATCCATAATGTTTAGTTAATATTAAATTACAATAAATCATTAGAAAATCATTGACGATTGTAAGGTTTAATCACCGATAGTCGCTTTCAACAATCCTGTAAGATTTCATACACATAGTTCCCTTTATCATTTTGAAAGGAGCAAAAACAAACATTCTAGCAGAATAGCATGAATTCATTTTTATTTTGTTGGTTCTCGTCAGCTGCTTACAACCTGTGATATTTAAAAATGCCTACGAGACAACTTTTACCCACAAAAATTTATTGACAAATATAAAAAGCGTAAGGAAAACAATACTGACGTAATTACGGTCAATAAAAAATCAATAACTATAAATCTTGACTTCAAAGGTGATGATGTTGCAAGCACAATCAACAGGAGACTGAATACTGCGCTAGCCAGAACTTATCAGGCGGCCAAACCTCTAATTCTGTATAAAACAACATGTTTAATAACTCAATCAGAGGTTGATAAGCATCCTTTTCATGTTACCGCCAATTGTATTTATAAATTTACGTGTACCTACCAAGGCAGCTACATTGGCCGAACAGAAAGAAGGGCATATCTCAGATTTTTTGAACATGTTCCAAAAAGCCTCAGAACAAGAGAAAGAAAGACTCTAAATAGTGCAATCACTAAACATCTCCTCGAGACAGGACACCAGGTCGACACCCTACAATCATTCAAGGTGATTAGTAAGCAGCCAAACTCCAGTCTTCTGAAGTTTGCTGAAGCAGTTGCTATCAGGCGTCAAAAACCTGAACTATGTATTCAAAAGGAGATGGTTATTAATCTTTCCTTGCCTTGGTGATTAATATTCCTTCGTTATATCTTGATATTTTTTTCTTTTCTTTAAACTCTTTCTTGCATTTATCACACCATTGAGTTTTATTCCAACTATCTTATTTTATCAACTGAACTCTACTCATTTTATTCCTATCAATGTTTATTTGTTTCTAACCGTTTGAACTGTTGTCACAATGTTGTTTCATCACATAAGGTATATATTTACAATATTCAGTCCATTAAATTTATTTACACCCTTGCTATACTATACGAATATGTCTTTAATATAACTTCCAATCAAACTCTTTTATGTAAGTAATTTAAACCCATTAATTATGATTTTAAATATCACGGGTTGTAAGCAGCTGACGAGAACCAACGAAATAAAAATGAATTCGTGCTATTCTGCTAGAATGTTTGTTCTTGCTCTTTTCAAAATTCTGTAAGAGTTTAGTTCTAGAAAAATCAACATCATCCGTACAAAGTACCGTTCATCAATTAGAGTATCTCATTTACTTTTATCCGTACAGAATAGCATGGCAGAAAAAGAGCATTAAGCAATGGGCTTCATAACAAATAATTAAGTGAAAAAATAGAAAATGAAAAACTATCTCATAATTATAAAATAAACAAATAAAAAAGACCAAGCAATGCTATAAACAAAATATATTTTGCTTTTTTTTACTAAACTAAATAAGGTTCGTCACTGATTTCGATTTTGAAACGATGTCTAATATTGCATTAAGTCATTGAGTTGAATTATATTAGGACACTAATGATGGGTCGACAGAAGTGAGCTTAATCTACCTGATATGTATTCAGCACGTTATGTTATGGTACGAGAAGCCACTTAAATTCTTCTAACTAATTTCAATGTCAGGAGACAGTACTAGTTATAAAAGCCGCAGAGACGTTATACAAAAATAGGTTCGTAAATCGAAGTATGCTTTAGCATTTCATCACTCGTCGGACAATAATCGCGAATATGAGATCCCACTTTTATATACGCGATATATTCAAGGAAGTAAAAACTGATCCATTGAATGTAGAAGCAATGATGACTGGGCATCATAAAAGTTTTAACTGGATGGTAAGTTATCGTTTTATTATGAAATCTTTAGACGGATAACTATTATTTTCGGTACAACCGTCTACTTCCTTTATCAGTCAGTTGTAATCAAATCAAATGTATCTGGAGTATTCACATATAATATGTTTTTACTCATTCATCCAGTTAATTCTAAATCACAATTAAGTAGTAGACTCAAGATATAATACTTCTATAGGATAGTTTAGATGTCAAAAATCTAAGGTAGAGTCCCTCATGAACTTCCGCCTCGTTAGGTGGACCAGTTCGTTACGGGCCATGGAGGGCAGGAAAGTTTGATCGATGTCGCCAGAGCAGTAGATCAGTTGAACTGCCCTTCGGAAAACACTACCCATCGCCCGAGACGTCCATAGATGTTACTGACCGAAATCCCGTCATCAGAGATTGTTTCACTCACACCAGACTTCTTGCTGCAAGTGACTCGGATGAATCGAAAGACCTTTCGGCAGTTACCAAAAGCAGCTGTTGTTTCCAACTCGTTAGAATGCTCCAACCACCGGGTTTCTCGGTCCTTAAGCAAGCTTTTGCACAATTTTGTCACGCGAAAACCTTCGTTTATGGTCAAACCCGCGGTTACTCGGAGTAGACCAGCATATTTCAATGAGTTGTGAGGAACCTGTGGAAACCTAGTGCTTATAAGCAGGACGTTCCGAGAAGTCGCAAGCGACTTTACTCGTCATTTTCATGGCGTCATGCAACTGCACCCAGTGCTCATCTACACTTTTCGATGGGCTAATACTTAGCCTTGGACCTTGCTGGGTTTGATATTTAGTTGCAACAGACGCTGCAACCAATTTTGTGACATAGATCATTTTATGGTGATGAATTTGTTGGCCACTGAAACGTAAGATAGGATTAGCGCAAACAAGGGCATGATCAGATTCCAGATAAGTACTACAAAAGGAGCGGCAATCTTGTACACAGCCACACCAGCAGTAGCTGATTGTTATATGATCAGTCTGAGTCCAGGTTTCAGATACAGAGGGAGGACACCAGGTAGTACATCGGCGATTATTGTGCCGGAAGTTAGTTCTGGCCGGAAACAGGTTGTAGGCTGAGGAAATTTGTAGTAGGCAGTCACCGTAATCTATTTTGGGACCAAGATATCCTCAACAGCCACCCATATAACTCTCCTATGTGCTTAGACGCCCGTTAGGAGATTCAGTCCCATGGTAACCGGTGATCAACAATAGGTTTGTACACCTTTTGTCTCCTCAGGGTACTGGAGCCCATATGTGCCATTGGTTTGGAATTAGGGTTTTCCAACTACCCTAGGTAGATCCTCCGTACCCACCAAACCGATTAAAGCGCTGGACATTTGCTTTTCGTCCTTTCAATTTCGTAAACAAACTTCAAATAGAGAACAAACTACGTCAAACTAAAAGACTGGAAAAGTAATAGTGAGTTAATCAGAGATAACACTGTATTTAACTATGTTTATGATAAATGACTGGTAGAATTGACGTAATATAGAATGGGTATGATGTGATAGTCCAACTCAATAACCAATTAAAAGTTAGTGTAGACAGCTTTAGGCTATATACGTTGAATCATAAACCATGATTACACCTAGTTGTTTGGATCAATCCAATTAAGGCAGCGTACGAACCCACAGACAAATAGTTGGGCCTCGAGTAACATGCTAGTAATAACTAAAGATATCTTTCATAAATCAAATAGTAAAGAATGTATGACTGAATATCTTTTTACAACAAGAATCAGCCGAACGCGTTTAGACGGCAATGATTGAAGAGTTTTCTACAAGTCCTTTCTAACTTTAGCAGCACCGTGAATTTTCTGCATGGAGAATGACAATTACATCAGAATAAAAAACTATATGGTTATTATAGTTAATTCTTATTTAACTAATTTCACAATAAATTAGTTCGGTCTTTTCTCTTTTAATATGATTCAATCACAATTACCATAAACAAACTCACATTTAAAAGTATCCCCTGGAAGTAGAACCAAATTTAGTCAACTTTAATTACTTTTGTTTTTACTGGTGTGAACTATAAATGCAAATAGAATGTTGTTCCAGAAAACATTAAATAAATGAAGATAAATTAATATTTTAACTATTCAAAAACAGATCTTACTTGATTGAAATGTTTAAGTTTTGAGTCTTTGAAGGCATTTAGCATACTTCGAAGTACTCCATTTCCTGTTGTATCAGGTGCAACCAAATGATGTGCATCTCCTATTTGTATGAAAATACAAGAACAATGAAGTCTGAGCCATTTTGGGACAATTGGTGAACATTTTGCAAATTGAGCATTTACTATATGGTTGTTAGATTTTATTAACAAGTTCTGTAATTTTGTATCAAATACATTCGATTGTCCCCACCCGTGTACTATTCACTACAGTAAGAGTACAGTTGAAATATACAGGTAGACAATAAGATCAAATGAATCCAAATTTAATAATATATACACTCTATAAGAGTAAATATCAAGAAAATTACTCGTTCGATAGATCATATTATGAATCATGTATATTTTCTTTCCTTGAAAAATTATTCACTTCCAATAAATATACTGCTCTGAAGTGGTGGCTTGATAGTTTAAACACTCGGTTTTTAACAAGCCGCAAGTTCATATGTCTTTTTATCTAATTCGATTAAAAAAGCCCAGTAGTATAACTAGGCCTCCAATAAACAGTGTGGCTTAAATTCAAGTACACAAAAAGTGTACCTAGTAAATGAGTTACATGAATTCAATTTATCAATGTAGTATCATTCCTAAAATTTAAAAACTGCTAAAGTACAGAATAAAAGTTGAAAGGTGTTTAAGTATAACTTATTTTTACAACTCTGTCGCTTGTGTTGTGCGTCAGACATAGATCAGCCAATTGTAAGTAAAATAAATGTTGCAGTCAAAACTAACCTGGAACCATGTAATTTAGAAAATTGCAGACTGAACTCTTATAAGTGAAGTTCAATCAATTATCACTTTGTAAGCAGTTTAATAAATATTTCATATTTATTTCTGTGGTTGAATAGACTAGAGAAGTATGTATCATTAGTACTAAAAAGGTGCATTTCATCGCATACACAAACCCATCTTATTACTACTAAATGATGAATAGTCGTCTTAGTATGGCCATTAGAGACAACGTTAAAAAAAGCAGGAAGCAATATTTCGGGTACGTTTTTACTGAGTATCTGCTTTTCCTGACGAAAATAACGAAAATATAAACATATGGATAAACCAGTTATAAAGATTTGAAGCGATTTATTAAGAGGGAACTAGTTCCGTAAGAGGAGAAAGTCACAGCTAGATTCCCATCAAGATAACAGAGATGCAAAATCCTATGATAAATGCTAAAAAATCACACATATCAGTAAATTGGAACAAAACTTACCAGACCTTCCAAAACCAATAACTTCAGCTATCGGTTTTGGTGTTTCCATAAATGATTCCATTAAGAAACTGTCTGGAGGAGGCCATGCCTGTAATACAACTGTAGCTGCACCTTCAGATAACACAAATCCTTTTCTCAAGGAATCAAATGGACGAGAGGCTTTCTCAGGATTATCATTAAATTGTGTACATAATGCACGTAGTCGACAAAAAGCAGCGATTATCCAGGCATTCAAAGGAGATTCACATGCACCAGTAACAACCAGATCAGCTTCGTTATTCTGAACTAGTGAAATATGAAACGAAAATAAACGAGCGATTAATTGATAGTGAAAGCAAACAAGTGGATATCACTCTCAGTTATTAAATTACAAGTTATTTTAATTTCTAATTTACGTTTTTTCAGTGGCCTTATGTAGGGTGACTTAGTTCTTCAAATCTTTCGAACAAACAATTATATTTTAGTGTAGCCGTATTTGAAGCCTTTTGATTCTACTCTACTCATCATCTATCTGTCTATATTATCGCATATATACATACGTATAAGATGATGATAGTGAATTTACATGTTTTAACCATGGTGATCACACGGTTAAATAAATTGCTTGCTTAGTTGTTTTATCATACACACCAGCGATATTCTGCAGTGATTGGTTATCAAATATCTATAACGTCTTAATAGAATAATTGTTTGACAGGTATAGTACATGTGACAAACTGTCAATCCTAGCAAGCGGTTACAAAGTGATTGTACACTTGAAACTGCTTAAAAATTGCTTACTCATACGGAAGCCTTCGCCAATGCAATGTAGGCCAGCAGCGCATGCGGTGTTGACTGCCATACACGGTCCTCGTAGTCCCCAAATTCGACTTATTATGGCAGCTGGGATATTACCGAGTGTTCTTGTTAAAGCGTGAGGCCCAATAATAGAGTATTTCTTGGCTAAAATTCCTGATGATGTATTCATAACTTCATTTGGACCGTCCAACCCCACTCCAAAGCAAATACCTAAAGTTATACTACAAAATTACTGGCAAAAAACTCTCGAGCCATCAAATAACTTAGAATATCTATAGAAATGTTTGAAATACAATATACGAATAAATCAGTAATTATGACTTATTATTAACCTATCAATCTAGATAACTGGTATAATTATAATCTAATAAACACAAATAGGTAACCATGTGCAGATTCATGTATGTATGCTAATCTACCTAGATACTCGAACCGAAGAGAGTGGGACGAGATTTAAACCAGCAACCCAATGATCGCTTTGAACAAGCCCAACACTCCATTGGGACTTGCTAAACTAGACTGATTTCGCTTATTTTATTCAGGTAGACATGGGGTGATAGTGATAAAATCAGCTAAAATGATATACATCAGCGATCGTTTTTGAAAAGCAATGTTAAAAATTGGGAAGTGCTAGAGTAACAACATATATCCGTAGAAATTCTTTTATAGACACGGAACTATTGAATACAATAAAATGAATCGATCTACAGTCAAATATAAACATTTTCCATTCTCTTAATCTTTAAAAGTGATGACGTTACACAGGTAGATAGTTATTCGGTCATAATTAACGTAGAACATGACAAAAATTCGTATCATATCCAGTTGATATACTTGACCCAACTCCCCACTAATTAAAATCTACCTGTGGGAGCATGACAGTTAACCTGATCAGAAATTGAAATGCAGATTTTTGTTAACTGCAAACATATTCCCTAGATTATGCATCTGTTACAGAAGTTAGAATGTTAAGATAAAAAAATGAACAATTTTTGAAAGATCTGTATTCCCTGAGAGTAAACATCCTCTGACGAATATTGGGCAAGCATATGAGCTCAAGTCTTTTCAGACTTGCTGAAGCCATAGCAAACAAACAGATTTTTGTGTCCAAGAAAAAAAACCCAGTGATTGATGCCAATAGCTTGAATTTAAATGTCTTCTCCTGAATTATCAAATCATATTTCGGTTAAACTCCTCTTCATTTCATATCAAAGCTTTGCTCTCAATCCAGTGAATTCAGCTAACCACGCTCTTATACACTTTGTTCCTTCATTACCATCAATTAATCTACTGATTTAACTACGTAACCACCTACTTTAGGCTCCATAATGTCTTTATAAAACCCCTGTTGATTTTTGGGGACCTTCTATCGAACACAATAATCGATCGCAATATCTTAAAATACCTTCCTAAATATATAAGGGTTTCTATTGTTCTAACCAAACTATGGTAATAATTTCTTAACCGAACTGCTAACAATCATCTATTTCAGAAATCAGATCATAGTGAACCTTTTCTGTGGTTCTAGCGTTTAAATATGACAGATCATAAATAGCTAATAAAGAGATGACGAGATAAAGTAAGTACTTCATTTGTTAAGTTAGTGTCCTGGCCTTCGTAAAATGGAAATAACTCGAATAATTCGGTTAAATATATCAAAAAGTAATTGGGGTTCATGTTTTACTAAAATATCGAATGCACGTGCCAGTCGAATTAATAGACGTTTTAAGTAAGTGATAGGAAGGAAATTCTCTGAGCTAGTGAGAAAACGTCAGAATGAAGTTATCGTACCCCGCGAGTGTTATCTTATTAGATCATTTAAAAACATACCTGCTCGATAACCTGAGTTTGCTTTCCACTTCACTTGTTTGAAAGCTTCATAAGTTGCAATAATACCTAGAGCACTAGCACGTGACACAGATCTCCAATCATTAGAAATATCCAAACCACACGACTTATAGACTTCAGACTCTACAAAAGACTTTCGTTCTTCCAATTTTTGATTATCGATACTCCCGAAAACCTGACTAGGCAAAAAAGAAAATTCATCTATGGGTCATGAAAATTAACACAAAAATACCAAGCGTCTTTGATATTCCACAAGAGCCTTTCAAAAGATTCGCCCATAATTCTGATACACTGAAACCCAAAGGTGTACAGACCCCCAAACCAGTTATTGCGACTCTCCGAACTCCCGTCATTAATAGAGATATCTAAAGAATATAATAAAGAATAACTTGGCGGACGAGCTAAGCTTGGATATTTTGTAGTTATATTTGTGAAGAACGAGAAGACAAAAACTAAAGGACGGTTTATCTTAAATCTGTCAGTCATCCCCCTCTTGACTCAGAACAATATACTCAGAATACAGTATATCCAAATGCTTCTTTTATTAAGATATTTTTCGAATTATCATACAGAATTACGTAGCTATGGTGACTGCATGCACTAGGAAAAACCATTGTGATTAGTAAATATTTTTTATTAAATTAATGTGAGGCAAAAGAAAGGGATGAAAAAGTGATACCCATATAAGTGAAGGATTAAAATTAGAAATAATAAAACCGGAGTAGTCTTATTCTAATATGTACAGGGAGATGGCCCCCGAATGCCCAGGTACGACCGAGGGTGGGAAGGGTCCACTCACTCTTGAAATGCTCTCACATGGCCACACGTATACAGCCATTGCCATAAAAGTCCTACTCACTGCCTTTTCGCAGCAACAAGGGTGTTATTTACGAAACTGAGAGGACGAAAAGCGAACGTCCAGCGCTTTGGGTGTAAACGGAGGGTCCACCTAGGGGAGTTGGAAACCCCGATTCCAAACCAGTCGTGCACATGGGCTTCAGGATCCTGAGGGGAAAAGTGGCGTATAAACCTATTGTTGGTCACCAGCTACCATGAGACCACATCTAACGTCGCTTAATTGCCTCGTGGATTATACCTTTAGGTCAAAGGCTTAGACAGTAGTCCCCTAAGAAAATCACCTACTTCGGTTTGGGCGCCCTGGCAGTATTCTAGCCCTTACAGGAATCGAATTTGTGTGGCGCATACATATTTGGTGCTTCCTTGTGCTAATATTTATGTTTAAATAAATAAATACATGGAGACAAATGGTGGATGTTGCTGCTCCAATAAAGTCGATTTGAATTACACTATTCAAATTTCTAGACTGATTGTCTATCTTATTCTCTTTAATCAGGAAGCTGAGATTTCAATGCATGGTGTTGGCCATAGGTTAGTGACTTCATGGATTGATGTCATTTTGAAAATAAGCACCGTTTCAAAGAACATTTTAAAGGACCAAAATCACTTAATTTCAACACTTTTAGAAATTTTGATAAACCTAATGGATGTGTCTGATGTGTTCTACTCACGCTCAACTACCACAAGACTAAACAACCACTACACAGCCTTTCTTTTATATATTACTATCATTGAAGTGACTACTTCTATGAATCTGGCGTTCATCTCGTTGTGTCAGTGAGGTATGGTAACTTGGACTGATGCATATGTGCTGGTCCTACGTTTTAGGTGTGTGACTGACAAAACCAAAGGATAAGATACTCATGTCTAATAACTCACACACGAATTTAGCTGTGCGAATTCCCCTCATATCTATACGGTGTAGATTCTACATCATAGGAAAGTAAAACTGAAATTGCTTAGATCCAACTAAATTTGACATGACAAGACCTTAAAGGGTTAACCAATTTTTGTCTGAATAAATGACACAAATGAAGTTTATTTATTTACATACTGATGGGTTTTCCTACATTTATAGAAGACTAGAAAGCCTAACAGACAGGACCCTAAACTGATGAGGACCAGAAATCGCTGTAAAGGAAGACTTCAAGCTCTAAACGCAAAATGGATTTGGTCGATATGTCATCCCCTTGATATATTAGACACGGATAGGAAAGTATGATAGAAAAAGAACAAAAATAAATAAAATTTCGTGTATGGGAGTGAAGTAATGATAACAATTATAATAATGATGGGAGAACCAGCTCAATTAAGAAAGATACAACCCAGCAAGGATTCTTTCAGTTTCTTTCTCGCCACTGACTTCTATTCTGAGCCATGTCTGGTAACGTCACAAGCCATCTCTAAGACGTCATACTGAATGAATTTCGCACATGTCACCTTGGCCGGAATTCATAGCAAACTGATACGGAAAGAATTGGTCCAAATAATATCATCTTATTCCGTCATGTCAGAGCTGAATTTCACTATCGAGTCTCCGAATTCACCTTAAAGTTTGCAAAGTACAACTTTAACTACGGTATCTGATCGATCCTTGTGAAATATCCTGGGATCGTTTATGTAAAATCAACTATAACATTTACTAATAGCACCCTGGGCTTCACAAAAACCCAATACGTGTGGGTCCTGATCATCTATAAACCCTGAATTTATCAATAATCGAAAGTACACTCCATTTCATCGTTGTATTGACAGTGAGTCAGTAGGAAACACCCATCGCCTAGCTGTTGTGGAAAAAGTTTTCAAGTGGTTTCAGTCTTTAGCAGGTTGACTTTTATGGTCTTTTGAATCTAAGGTAGTAGATTTCACTAACTTGATGCCCTTGCTCCTAGTTTCCCCCTCTGTGTCAAATGGGGTTGAGTTTCGTAAGTACCAGAAAGGGGATCCAAAATAAATCTCGTTGCTAAAGTCATAAGATCATCAGCTATACGGTGGCTTGATAAACCCATTTTAAATTGTTATCATGTCCCCATAGAGGTCTACGTTTATCTTGACTGATCTTAATACTTCTGGAGAAAGTTTTATATCATTGTACTCATTTCTAGTGAACTCAACGACATCAATTGTCTTTGGTTGAGAGGGTGAGGTTATGCGTACTGGAAATACTTCAATGAATTCGAGTTTATCCAAAATATGCCCCGTTGGTTTATATCAGGAGCACACTGAAAGCTAACGAAATGTTTCTTGTCCAGGGATATCATGAACAATTTGCGACCTGCGGAGTAAGAACCACTGCGATTATGAGGTAGGCTCTGACAACCCAAAGTCTGCCTAGTTTGATGCAAATATGGGCTTTATATTTGATAGCAAGATCCCTGCAAGTGGAATGGATACTGGTTGTTTTATACCTCACAAAGCTGATTATATACTGCCTGTATGACCCTACACATTTATTTTTAAGAGGAATGAGCCATTTCTCGACATAGAAGAGGATTAAGAAACAAGGATCTAGACCATTATTGTTTAAGACGGGCGACAGTAGTAGTCCAACTATACCTATAAGCCTTACTTGCATTCACCCCGGACCCCATATTTGATGTAGAGTTGGGATTTTTAGAACAAAAACAGTAGAGATAAAAATATTTTTGGTTTAGATGTTTGCACAGAAAGCATCTGAGAACGTTCGCTACGATTAAAACGATGAGACATTCACGTAAGGTGCCTTGTTGGGCTTCTTACAGTGATGAACATCAGTGAGCTTAAATCTATTGATAAATACCTTCAGCAAAGTACCACGAGGAAATTAATGTTCTTAAATTTGACCGGGACTGAAAAAAAGTGATGAGATATTTAATATACGTAATTAACCACCACTACATTGAAGATAATAGAAAACTGCCTGTGACAAGTTACAAAAAAGTAGGATTTAAAAATGTGTTAAGAATTGATTTGATCAGGTATTAAGTAGTAAAACCCACTCAAAAATACCGATTTCTCTGAGAAAGTAATACTTGCTTACGGGACAAGACGTGATATATTAGTAATCAAAGTCAGCACTCTGTAGCCAGTTGCATTGTGTTGAAGAACTCGAAAACAACTACAGTTTCCCAATCACTGCAGAAACACAGCGCACATTACAGACCTGCCGCCAACTCGATGTTCAATGGTAAACAACTAGAGGTTTGTGTACTTATATTAATCTATTCAATCACTGAAAAGGCAGTATTTCATGCTTCATTTGAAAGTATCATTACAAGGCTTGGGCAATCCTTCCTAGTTGAGAACAGAAGTAACGAACCATTGAGTTGTATGTCAGTGAAATATAGAGGGGATAGAAAATGAACTGAAAAGCCAGAAATAAGATGGATATGCACCAAATTTAGGTACGCTGTCCTATTATCAACCTGTGCGGCTGATTACAGAGGAGAGTTGTGTTTACCCCTTCTGTTGATTTATTAGAGGGGAAGCTGAACAGATACTTACATCCTTCCTTCCGTTTTTGAATCCCACATAGCATGACATTGTTAACTGCTCATAACTAAATACACTTTTATACACACGTCTCTGGTTCTATCATGTTTTGGGATGTGATAATGGAACGATTAATTAACTGTCATCTATATTTATAGACTGTTGTAACATTTACATTACCTTCTACGTTCGGATATACTACTGAAGCCATATCGTCTCATTGGAATTATTATTTACCTATAATTGTGAATTCTGGTGCCACAATCAACAGGACGCGCGCCAACCTGCTGATTTAAGTGATGTCCTTAAACTTTTATTTGTGTTATTATCTTATGCGTTGTTTATCGCTACATTAACTTTTGGACGTAATAACTTTATTGCTGTTTTTCGGTTAATATACTTTTGGTCCACCACAAACACAAAAAGAAACTCATTAGAAAATGATTCATACAAGCCCTTGAGTTTATGTTTGCACGGATAAATTTGACGATTACACTCTGTCGTGCCAAAAAGATGAAAGAGCATTTCAAGCTCTCCTTGTTAGTGAGGTCAGAAAGCTCTGCTATTATTTTAATCTCAGCTGCTTAAAAGTTCACCAGTATATCTGTTTTATGTTCAGAAAAGACGTGCTAAGTTCCGTATTCTAAATGAGCCTTGATATATTCCAGATGTCAAACTAAGATATGTAATCACCACAAAAAGATGTAGTTCTCTGGGCTCAGTGGAGCTAACTAAACAAAGATATGTAGTTAGCATAATCCATGTCTCATTAATCCGCCGTGAAAATTATCTGCTCAAAAATGGCCATCTTATTTAGTCAGGTATTATTTCACATAAGCACCCCAGAGTTCCATAGTCGTCTTTTAAGGCATACAAATTAAGACGATGTTCACTTTCAAATGCTTCACGTAGTTTTGTCATTAAATATATTGTTTGGAATTTGACGGTATTATTTTTAGGAAATCAGAGGTTGAAGGCATCCGGTAGGTAAAGGTGGTTTGATATCCACTCTCATAAACCAGATCTACTTTGGACTATCAGAAGTAATTGTAGTGATCCGAAGGTCATATTATGTATTCTCGCTAGTGATGCCCAAGACTATCCAACTCGTATTCTAATAGTCACTTATGGGCCAGTAACCGGGTGGGAAAGAAATCTGTAAGCACAGTCGAAATTGCTGTACTTGGAACTCAAATTATCCACGGAATGATATACGAGGAAGTCATCGATTAGTACAAATACCAAAGTAATTTGTCATGATCATGATTATTAATCCATAATTTGACTCATGCGGTTTGCTCTCTATCTGAAGACCGGTTTGTGTCAAAGCTGTAAAATAATGTCCACAGTTAAAGCACATTTATATGGAAGTCCGAAAGGTACACCTCGTCTAATTTTCATTTATTTAATGTAGTTTATTTATTTTACATTACATTACTCAGACTCAGTATATTTTATTTACGTCACATTTAGATATTACTAACACTTCTTATGCATTAAATGAAAACCAAACGTATAAAAATAGCACAGACATACAGCGCTTGACAGCCTTGTAGTCCGTAACATCTCTTTAATCGAGGACATCAAAACCCACTCAAACCAAATTTCAGGAATGAAAGGATCCAAAAGTACGTCTCGGAAACGGTCATTGCATCGAGAAGTATATAGTTCAAACTGACTAATTGTTATAAGAGAGAAGGGGCATCGTGTATCTAGATATTATCTGGTGTGGATGCCTGGTGAAGCTCCTTGGGCTAGGGGTGTGTTCAGTAAAACTAGTGGTGTCAGCATCAATGTCCAAGACGTGCAAAACTATTTATTTTGAGGACCTATCAGTTAGATGTGTGGTCTAGGTTGGTACTAGCATACTTATTTATAGTACTAGAATATTAAATCTCTCCCGCAACTGTAGATTTGCCATGATGTGACTACCTAATCTATTAGACCTGACGTGAAATTCGCGTCATTATCTATACTGACTTGTCCTACGTGACAGTAGGTGGTTGCTGCCAAGAGGTGATAAAGAATACACTTGGGCTCGGAAGAGATCGACATATTTTATATGAAAGTCAAGGGGTTATATAGTGGTGACCGCACACGCATGCCTGAGCCATGACATTTCAATCAATTACTCCCTCATTCACCAACTCTGACGTTCTCACTGTGTTAAATGTTAATATAAATCTTCTCGATTATCGTGTGTTCACCTTCATGAATCATCCTGTTGAAAACCAGTGTCACGACATATTTACCGTTTCAGGTATATCACATGAAGATTGCTAGGATTACCTAATCATTTAAAATCACTGGGTTTCTCAGACTGTTTTCAAGTTTTGGATGGTGATTATTTTCTTTTCTACCTTTATGACTGTGATTCTTCCTTAGTCTTTCACTAATCGGTGATTTAATAGTGCTTTGCACTAAAAAACTTAAACTGTCCCATGGGTGAGACTCACAAACTTTTACCTACATTTATTGAAAAGCCCATGAACCATGGTTTTATGTCATTAATGTGTTTATATGCCGATAAAAGTTATACTGATAAGAGAACGCTAGTCCCATAACTAATTCAAGGTCATGTAACTTGTGTTTACTAAATCAACAAGAATTATTTCAAGATAGGGGTGAATATAGGACGACTGAATGTCACACAAAATTCGAAAATACGTAACTACTTTCAGCTACTATAATGCATAGGAAGCGAACACACGTATTTCTGATAGATCTTTCTTCAGTATAAGTAGTGCTTTAAAATCTCATCACGATTTGACTACATGAAGTGTTCTGCACTATGAGAATCTAATCAAATAATTGTCCTTACAAAATAAATTATGATATATGATGTCAAAGAATATAACTGAAATTTTGATAGGGACAATAAGAATAGGTTTACAGAAACTTCTGACTAAATAGTTCTTACTGACAACCCTAAAATGCACAACAGTAGCTAAGTGAAATGAATAGGTGATTTCTTATCATTATTCAAAACGATTCGCTAATACTAGCTAGATCGGTATGGAGCACCAAACACCATATAAACTAGGTAACTAACAACATAATTTCTCGAGATGCTTCTTTTTGAACAACATGGATTTTGACTTGAATAAGTCTTATCATTTGACATCAGTCAGGTTTTGAAAAACTGAGTATAATTACATGCTAGCGTAGAACAGTTGAAGTCTTCTCATTTATACCTAGATATTTAACAGAATATTAATTTCCCTTCATGTCACAAACAGTAATATTGAAGATGCCACAGGTATTCGGAGTTTGATAACGCTTTAACCAGTAACACCTAATATGGAGCGTACCCACCAAGTGAAATCAAAAGACAGAAGCGAGGAGGTTCGAAGATACATTTGATAGGCTATCAATATATCGAGGATCTTCTGATCTAATCTGGCTAGCTATTGCAGTAGATGTTGAGCACGGCGTTCCCACTCGTGATCTGGTGCGGATGCATGACCGAGCACCTTCACCTAGGTGGGTCCATTAAAACTAATGTGGTCAGCATCCAATGTCGAGAGCTTGCAGGGCTATTTATTTTGGGGATTCATTTACCGCTACAATATCATAACTACTCCTCATATATGTACATATGATATATGTACATAAACTGAAAGTGGTATGATTGTTGTTGAACTGGGTACTTTAGTATACTCTTGTACATGGTTCAAAAGTCGTAAAAAGTAAATTGTACACAGAAATTACGCAATAAACTGATGAACTAACTCTTGAACTGTTACTGATATATGTTATCCTGCACACGAACTATTTGAGATTTCATCAAAGGACTTACAGTAATAAAACTTCCTTCCATTCATACTTATGTTTATCAGACGAACAGTTTGATTTATGATTATTTTGAATGCTCAAGGTTTGATATATTTTCCCAGACCACAAGAAGTACAGTTCTAGTTGTCTGTTATATTTGTATTCAAAACCAACTTAGCTACTTATTCTAATGTTAGTAGCTCAAGTAGAATTCATCTGTATATACTGGTTCAAGACTAAATACTACTTTTTATCCTTGTTTTGACTTGACGACTGTTTTCTTGCAATTAAGACTGATATTCAAATTAAGCTTGTGACTAAACCTACTCATTATAATCCGATTTTTTCGGCTCAGGTTAATCAAACATTGATAAAGGAAAATACAGAGAGACCAAATAATTCTCTTGTGAAAAAGCAATCATTCTGTATAACAATGAAGTTGTAGGCTGATATTATCTGGTAGAAATCGATTTCATTTAAAAAGACACTCAACCAGCCTAATGAGTGACGACAAGATTGATAGTTACATCTTCTATGGCTTTGACCTGTGGTTCAAGTACTAACTCTGATTTCCAGGCCTTAATTTTCGTAGTTATTGAATGATCCAAAGAGTCACTTATCATACAGGTTCGTAAATATTTTTAACGATTACTCATCATATTTATGGTTTGTATGAGCCTACTAAAATTACAAATGACAAAACCCTTCATTTATTGTTAAACACAGTTTTAAATAGTTGTTTTCTCATATATACTACTCAGAAATATCTAACGGTAAAAAAGTAGCTCATTATCAGTAGTTTTATAAGTAAGAAGACAAATTATTTTTAGTGTAAAATCCTTTTAGAAAAACATTTTGAAAAGTGTTTAAATAGCGATAACCAAATATAATTTCATCAAATTATGGGTTATCTCATTATTAATCTCTTTAAAATGTATATATTTAAAAAGTATCCCATAATGAATAATAAGAACACAATGAAGTAGAAAAATAATAACAGTGAAAACAGGTCATGTGTTAATATTCAATCTGAGAAGCAATCATTATAATTATTGTTGAACAGGAATTATATAAAACTAGACACTTTGCATTATGATGACTAAAATAACTAGAATATAACACTTACTAAACTCAAGTCCTTCTTAAAGAAAATTTATTTGTTTATTTATATGGTAAGAGTTTTTCTCTTACCTAACAACAACATAATATGATGTATGCAATAGAATAAATGATGAGTTTTCACTGACCACGTACTAGAAACAGTAGATAGTCTTTTAGGTACTGATGTTTAAATCCTCATTAAATGTTTGAAAGAAAAATTAGAAATCAGGAACCAGTTACCACAATCAAGTTTTATATATATCGTTATAACGGGACACTATTGTCTTAATGTGTGACTGTCGATTATGCTATCGATTATCTGAACTGATACGGTTAACGTGACTGAGTGACTAGTATTCATAAATTCTGAATGATTGACCGAAAATTCCAAATGGAGGAACCTCAGAAAGCAGAAAGAGGTGTTAGCAATGATGAGACACATATGTACCGAATATTTGCACAAAAATGAAAATGATCAAAATTTATTTCAAACTTAAATAATTGTTAGAGATTTACAAAATGCTAATTCGGGACCCATGTAAAGTTGTGGATATACGCTGCTATGGAAAATTTGTCTATTGCGTCTAGGTTTCTAAAGGTTTACCGGTTAATGTCGTTTCGAATATTTCCAAAACTATATGAATGTCTACAAACCATTTAGATAAATAACTACGAGTACAAAGTTTTAACCTTTGTATTCAAAAAGTATTTGTGTTTAACCCTTAACTGTCCTGGTAACAAAAAAATGAATCGTGTTAAGAACTTACCATATTTCAGGAAGTCTTGATTATTATTACTACCATTACTATTTATCTATCTTATTTTGTCATATTATGTAACAGTGTTCTGGAACTATCACAATAATTATTTACAAAAATACAACTAAAAAACTCATTACAATTTCGCAATCTGAGAATTTTTTTACTGATCTCTGATGTTAACTCATTCCTTTTACATATCATATTGATGTTGTGAACCGTACAAATCTGTCAGCTTGTATGCAACTGAAACAAAATCAACGAAACACAGTGAACTCATTGTATTCTGAAAATACTGTTTTTGCTTTATTTAACTTGGTCGAAATTCTAGAATTATTCAAATAATTAGTAGTTAGTAGATGTTTGTCTTGCTACTCCTAACACTGACTTAATCTGTCAAAAGTAGTGAAAGGACAATATAACACAACATGTCATCAAGTATTTTCACATTTTTGAAAAAAACTATTTACATTTCTAATTTTATGAGAATTAGCATATTCGGTTACTCTATGGATTTCAGTTGTTTTAAATCTGTTATTCCCTTAATCACATAAGAAAGACCCCATTTACACAAATTAAAAGCTTTATGACTACATTTGTTAATAGTTTTTCATGCGACAAGAGATATAATCATGTAATCTGGGATGGAGCATTTTAGAATGAACTATCTCTCTAGTTTTCTCTCAAGTTTAATTATAGTAGCTTTATGAATATCCTTGAAATAAGATAACTCCATTTCTGTGTAGATAAGCAAAACAGGAAATTATATTCTTTAAAAAAAAGAACTTATTCATATTTCGGAAAAATGAGTTAACCTAGATCACTATTTTATTAATATTTTTATGGTATCTAAAGTGGTGAATGTTAGATCTTAGTTCATATGGTGTACACTAGCATCTAAAGGGTGATGAAGTGGTTCATTTACTGTCAAACTACTTGAATTTCAATCAGTCTACCATATATATAAATCCCATTCTACATTCCTGGGTTTAGACAGTTGTTTAGTATAACCAACCATCCTACGAAAACTTTACATTCTTACATATTATTCCTAATCATGGTTTCCATTTGCTATATTACTTTTAGTTTCCTTCCATATCTAACAAAATAGGTTACGATGATTTAATATAGAATATTACAAATAAATTTAACAACCTGTATAAAATTTATATTATGAATTTATTCATTATTCAATAATTCATTCCATGTTTATACCTCTCTCCTATTTAATTATAAATATTTTACCGAAACAATAATAATAGATAATGTTTAATTATATGTTCTAACATGACTAGTAAAAATCACTTTCATTCATTTTCAATCTATTTTAACCCACATGCCTAACTGTTGAAAAAGCTCAATAATTAGCTATCATTTTCATTCAATAAGGGAAAAGATAATAATAAAAAAAATATTCTATGTGGTAAATGAGAGGGGAACAGAATTTATGCTTTTAACATTAATATAAGAGAATAATGATTTCATTATCTACCTATCACAGTTTAAATTATAAATTGGACAGACTAATATGTCCTCGCCTATTTATCACTATTATTCATAAGGTGGAGAAATACTAACCAATGAGCTTATGATCCGTACTAATCTAACTTTTCAATATTTATTTTAAACTATTGAAAATGTCTAGTTTCTTAATTTTCCATTTTTGTTCATAATTTTTGGGAACTGAAGTAATCCTAAGAAATTACTAATATTCTTATTGAAAAAAAAGATGTATACAGATGATGGATGTTGGATGCAAACTAATGAAGATGCATTGGTTCACCTTTGTCCATCTCCTCATCATGAACTTCATAACCTTTGGATTACCGAATCAACTCAAAACCATATTCATTTAATATTTCATCGACTTATTCGTCTAGTTCATCACCAGTACCAGATCCTTCATTTCTTACTGATAACACGACAAATACTTCTGTTATATTAGATAGTCAGTATAATCCATATTTCAACAATACTGGAAATTTACATGTACCATATAGGTACATGTGGGATAAAGAAGATGATTATTACCTGTATACATCCAAGTAAGTTTGATCTTTTTGAGATATATCAGATTCATTTTTTAGAAGGTATAGATGACTGAGTTTAATATCAAAAAGAATAAATACATTCGATGATAAGCTTTAGAGGGTTCTCTATAGAAATATAAGTAAACGTTACTGAATAAGTGATACTCACGTGAAAACTTGCAAAAATTTACATTATTCTTTGAAAATCTAACTATCAAAATGCTAAAACAATTAAGACTGGACTGTTTGATTATCTTTTATTTAAAAAAAGTTGATCCCCAATGCGCATACTTCAAGACTTCAGTTTCAGCTATTGAATTATTGATTGGAAACATATCGAATTTATTCTTAAACAGTTCGTTAGTATGATCAGCTTCTATAATAGTGGCATAATTCTCTATTTCCCAATTTTACTGAGTTATATCTTAGTTTTGGAATACATGTTAGGTAACATTTCATGCATATAAGTACATTTTGTTAAGTCCACTGATTTTATCTTTGCTACTAAACCTGATGATTATTTACTGAAATATTTTTCTCAAATTTGTATGAATTGAAGGCACTTTACATAACACAGATCAATTAAAGAGTAAGTGAAAAGCAAGAAGCACGGGGTGAGTGTTCCTTTGTCATTCAGGACTTCTCAACAGTATTTGTCCATAACTATACAAAAAACTTTTGTCGATTAATGGTCGAATCCTTACGAATGAATTGCTTCGAAATGGATTTGCTTAAATTCTAGTGAGATTCTATGAAGTTAATCAAATGTAAGATGAAGCAATAAATCACTAACGACTTTATATGAGGAATATGAAACATAACAGACCAGTAAATTCTGGAACTGTGACGTAGAGAATTTATACTCAGTGGTCTAAAGATACTGTGCTCTTTGTGAGAGCCAAAGATCGTCTCTTGGTGGGTGTTCATTTTCGAGGAGTCATGGATTAGGGTAAAAACAACTTTCTAGTCCTCCCTGGTTTGCATTAACATTTCAACTAATGTCAACTGACAATAAAAGCTATCTAGAGAAACAAATATAAGAATTTAATTATATTTCTGGTATCATTTGACATAATACGACAGTTGCTTACTTAGTCCACCGACTATCCATTAGTTTAAATAAGTAAAAATCTCAGTTACTTTCATCTTAATAATTTGCTCTATCTAGTAAATAACCCCGATTAGAAGAAAGTCCGTTAGTTCATGATTTCTATTGTCTTAAACCAGTATCTTTGAATTAAAGAAGGAACGAATTGAGCGAAGAAATTTCTTTTCAATTAGTTTTTCATCATGGCTCTACACTAATATATATATGTTTTACAATAATAATATAATACTCATCGAGTAGATACGTTACGTAATAATTACATGATGACATTTAAATTAACATTGATTAATTGGAAGAAAGAGGATTATTAATATTCAAAGTGATCAAGAAGTTGCTACGTTGCGTAATGTAAGAAACAAAGAAGGAACAGAATTTTAACGGATGGTCAATAGGATGGTAGTTACGTAAGAATCAAGAGATGAATGTTGAGAAGTTATTAAGTTCAAAAGCAACAGAAATAAAATTACAAAAGTTAAAAAAATAAAAAATAAAAATGGAAGAAGTATGAAAAATAGTTCTTTTGAAGGAAATCTTAAACTGATGGCCAGGGCAGGGAAAGTGGTTGTACGAATCTCTTTTGAATGCAAAGGTCAGGTTTGTGAACATGGATTGCGATGGCTTCCGCAATGTGCAAGAGGCGCGCTCGTAAACCATGTGGCAAATTTGATGGGATATTGTAGATAACCTTAAAAGATTTATTCAATTCGACTTGATGACCTGTGTCAACCAAGTGAGAGAGAATAGAACTTTTAATCACTTTTACCTGTCCTTTGTTTAACCACGACGGATGATGTTCAGTAATGCGATGACGGACTTGCCGTTATGTAATTATTACGTAACGTATCTACTCGATGAGTATTATATTATTATTGTAAAACATATATATATTAGTGTAGAGCCATGATGAAAAAACTAATTGAAAAGAAATTTCTTCGCTCAATTCGTTCCTTCTTTATTTACCAAATGGCAAAATGGGAATTTTCATCTTTGAATTACACGAAATTAAGAATGAGTCACATTTAATATGATATTACGCAAAGTTGACAATCTTAGGTAAATGATTAGAAAGTAAAACCTCTTAAGGTGGTTTTACTAGAACTTTGTACAATCTCGGATGGATTAATGATTTAAAATGATGTTTATTTTTTTAAAATAATCATAATAACTCTGACGACGCTTTTTACCCTAACTGAAGTTTATTGTTAAAATTCGAAATACATTATCAGTTCATTTATACTATACACGAAACAATAGTAAGAACGTTCTCGATGGATACTACTAAGATTGCAACAAAAGTAGTTTCTTTTACTTGCCCATATTAAATAATACTTCTCTTAAGTAACGAATTTAAGTACCATCTATTAGAGATTTTAATTAAGTAGCATTATCAAACTGATTAGGCACGTATGTGTTTACTATTGATAAACTTTTGAATTGAAGGAAGATAGCTATATCAAAAAACTAACTAATCTTCCTTAATATAGAACGTAGTAAAACCATTAAAGGTAAGATATCACTAGTAAATGTATTCAGATTGTATGGTTGCTGACAAATTATAAGATGAAACACACCTATACTTCACATTTATAATCAACTCTACAACTCTGATTGAACCCTATCATAAACCACAGTTTCATACCCAAACTTTTAGGATAATCACTCAGAGATTTCAGTATCACCTTTCAACTTAGCCCAGAAATAGTACGTAGTTGAATCTTAATCAGATGATATATTTTATTGAACTACCAAACCCGATTACCAGTAATTCTTGCATTTTCAGCAATTATTTAATTGTTTTTCTTATCACAAGTAAACAAAAAGACTACCAAATCTAAACGAAATTACTATTTTACCAACAGACTAACCCTCCATAATTTAATGTATTCATAAATTATTTAGATAAAACAGGTTTCAATGAAACCATAATTTAAATTTGTTTAAATAAATGTTTTTGGATAAATTAGTAACATATCGTTCAAATATATGCAATCCAGTTACATTCACAATTCGCATAGTCACTTTTAGAATCAATCTCTTGGATACTAGTATACAATGGTTGTTTATTGAATAACATTTAAGGCTACACATATCTTAATATATTTCAAAAAAAATTTTTAATGATTTCATGTAGCTTTACTGAATCATTGTGAAAATTTACACTGCTTCAAGTTTCCATACTTAAAATGGTGTAAAACTTGAAAAAAAATTGATTGTAATATTAAATTAGCTAGAGAAAGTAGCTTGAAAACTTTAAGATGTCTTAAATGTTACACTTTAGTCTGTAGTCACTAATACATAAGAAATAGTTAAGTGTACATTTATAACCGGTTGCTTTTGTGCAAATAATTATAATGAATTACTTGGTTATGTGACTTGGTAAACTTCATTTTAAAATCTCATGAATAAAGTACTCAAATATTACTGAAAATCATTTTATGCTTTTACTTTGTAATCTCTAACTAAACTACTAAATTTCTTATCTATGATGATAGTCTGAAATTGTTATAATATTTTATGTAATCATGATTCGACTTTCAAGTAGTTGTTAGCCATTTTATAATTATGTCTACTTGACTTAAAATTCGATTTTCATTTCGTAGAAAGTATCATAAACTACATTCTTTGATCATTGATGTTTTGAGTATTGCATTTATTTCGTCTTAGAGTCTATATAACACAATTAAGCTTGTTGTAATGACTTTCTAGTTGTTATACTGAGTTTTTTTTGGACACTGTTTCATATAATAAACATTAACGTTGATGTAAAAATGGAACTGTAGAACCTGATGAGAATCTATTTACATGAATATTCTTCATTCAGATATCCATATTTTGATATAATGAGAATTTAGATCTGTTTTACAAGAAGCTAGAAACCTAATTTTATATTGAATGAGGTTCAATGAAAAGCTGTATAAACCACATCATTCAGTGTAACAAATAAAGAAAAATAAAAGATCACTTAGCTTTTTATATCAACAAGCCTTTATTGGTATTATTATCAGAATGGGTTTTGTGGAGATTTTTAGAAATTTCACAAGTTGAAATCATGAGTCAATTGATATTGTTAACTAAAGTGTGATATTAGTTCATATTAATTGATCGAATTACATGTAATTAAACATCAAGGAAATCTAAAAAATGAATCATTAATTATCAAATTAAATCATAGTGACATGTTTTCTCTATGGGATTATAATTCACTTCTTAGTTATCATATCTTGTATTTAGTAGAATATAAAAAATCCTATGGTACAATCAGTCATCATTCTTCATCCTATGATCAAAGTTATTTCGTCCTTTCATTTTTTTTTTCAAAAAACTTGATTGATAAAATCCCAATTCACATCGAACACTTTCTACAGATAATTATAAGTTATGCAACAAACTCTTGGGAAATGATAGTAGTTACGACGAATCAGGCTGTTATTATTATTATTGTTGTTGTTTTGGCCACACCGAAATTTATACTCAGAATTTCTGTTTTCCAAGTTATTATTTTATGCAATATTTTTACATATATATCAAAGAAGAGAGGGAAAACAATCCATAGAAAAGATAAAATAATGAAATATATAGACATACTTACACGGGCAGCAATGGATAGATAGTAGAAATATGTAAACATTTACATTTTCAAAGTCTAAGTGACTAAAGGAGATGAGAATTCGTTAAAGTAACTGAATAAACATTGATGAGCTACAAAAAAACACACGATAAACTGATGCATTACATCAGTTTTTAGACGCTATAATCAAATTATATATATATATATATATATATATATATCGAGTCACGAAATGATTGTTGAGTATTTATTAACTTATTACTGAATACAATGGTATCTCAGTCTATCGATAAATATTATTATATAGGAGATTGTCGTGAACCACTCTCTTCATTAGTT